AAAGGGGAAGAGAAGGTGGGAGAGAGAGAGTTATAAAATGAGGGCGATATTTAGATAAGAAGGAGGAAAAAAGGGTGATAGGGAGAGAGGAAGGAAGGGAGATAGAGAGCCTGAAAGGGAGGAAATAAAGGTGTTTAGGTAGGAGAAAAGTCGGGGGGAGTGTGGGAAGGGAAGGAGAGAGAGAGAGAGAGAGAAGGAAAATGGTAAAGAATGAGGAAGATTTTAAGGGAGAATGAGGGAGAAGTGATCACTAATTAGATCTAGCTATGTTTACGGATGAAAATGTATCCCTATATAACATGTCCATTAACCACTAGGCTCTATGCTCCCGTAGCCGTAAAGGAGCAGCTCTAGCCGTACATTATCCCTGGACAGTAAAGGAGGAGCTCAATGAAGTAAAGGTCACTAGTCGACGCCTTTAAAGGACTCCCAATGATGGCTGTTTACCTGACGTAATGAGCCCACCTCTTTTACCTCCCTTCTCCCCCTCCCTCCTCCCTCCTCTCCTTCTTTTCCCCCTCTCTTCTCCCCCCTCTTACCCCTTCCCCCCAACACCACAGCACCCCACACCCCTTCCTCCTCCTGTGTGTGTACCTCCTCCTCCTCCTCCTCCTCTACCTATTCTTCCTCCTCCTCCTTATCCTCCTGTTCCTCCTTTTGCTTACCCCCTCCTAGCCTGTGACACACTCCTCCATCCAGCCATCTTACTGTCATCACAATCACACTGTCATCACCATCACGCTATCATCACCATACTATCCACCATCACACTGTCATCACCATCACACTGTCATCACCATCACACTGCCATCACCATCACACTGTCATCACCATCACACTGCCATCACCATCACACTGTCATTACCATCACACTGTCATTACCATCACACTGCCATCACCATCACACTGACATCACCATCACACTGTTATCACCGTCACACTGTCATTACCATCACACTGTCATCACCATCACACTGTCATCACCATCACACTGTCATTACCATCACACTGTCATCACCATCATACTGCCATCACCATCACACCATCTGGCTGCCTGACTGGTTAGTGGTCCGGCTGCTGTAAGGTTGGCCAGCTGCCAGTTGTCCTACAGGCTGTCTGGCAGGCTGGCAGGCAAGCTCACTGCCTGTTTGCTTGCTTTTAGGGTTGTCAGGCAGGCTTAAGGGCTGGTTGGCAGGCTGGAAGGCAGGCTGGCTGGCTGATGACAGTATGATGGTGATGGCAGTGTGATGGTGATGACAGTGTGATGGTGATGACAGTGTGATGGTGATGACAGTGTGATGGTGATGACAGTGTGATGGTGATGACAGTGTGATGGTGATGACAGTGTGATGGTGATGACAGTGTGATGGTGATGACAGTGTGATGGTGATGACAGTTAGACTAGGGGCAGGCTGGGTGACTGAAGGGGTGGCAGACTGGGTGGCGCTCACCGTCTTCACCTTTAAGCTTGTTACAGCATCTCCTCAATAATCCACCTCCCTGTACCATCGTCTTCTGAGGCTGCCCGTCCTCCTCCTCTTCCTCCCCTTCCTCTCCTTTCTCTTCCTCTTCCTCCTCTTTTTCTTTTTCCTGCTCTTCCTCTTCTTTCGTTTCCCCCTTTTCCACTCTTTCTTCTTTCTTTTCCTCCTCTTCCTCTTCCTCCTCCTCTTCCTCTTCCTCCTCCTCTTTTTCTTCCTTCTCCTTTTCCTCCTATTCCTCTTCTTCCTCCTCCTCTTCCACTTCTTCCTCCTCTTCCTCTTCCTGTTTATCTCTCGTCTCGGGCATTTAAGTATCTCTATGATCTTCCTGTGAGATAACGAGAGACAAAAACAAGAGAACATCAAAATAAAACAAAAACAATGTATCTAATTCTTCTATGTCTATTGTTTTTAACCATTTCTTACCGTCTATTATCTCTCTCTCTCTCTCTCTCTCTCTCTCTCTCTCTCTCTCACACACACACTATTTCTCATTCTGTTTCGTTATCACTTGTGTTCTAATTCCAATTATTCTCCCTTGTTTCTCCTCCCCCTTGTACTTATTATTTCCCCTTCCGTTTATTCTCCCTTCCTTCCTTCCTTCCTTTCATTCACTCGTTTGTTTTCTCTGCTATAATTTTTGTCTCTTCCTTTTGTCTAGTCTTCTTTTCCTTCTTTTATTAATTTTTTTTAATTTTCCTCCCTTATTAATTTTCTTCCTTCTTCTTATTCTTATTATTCCTTTAATGTTTTTCTTGTGATTTTCTTACGTACCGCTTCTGTTATGGTGCCAGCTTCTTCTTCTTCCTCCTCCTCCTCTACCTCCTGCTCCTCCTCCTCCTCTTTTGTTTATTCTCCTCCTTTCTCCTCTACTTCCCTCTTCTTATTTTTCTCGTAAGTTTTCTTTCACTCTCATGTTACTCCCTTCACCCTCCTCCCCCCTTCTTCCCGCTACTCCCCTAATTTTCCCTCCTTACCTCCGTCATCCCGCTGCTATCGCCTTCCTTTCTCCCCCTTCCCTCAATTTCCTCCTAGTCTTCCCTTCTCCCCCTCTCTCTCCCCTTCCCCTCAATTTCCTCCCCTAGTCTTCCGCTTCACCCCTGCCTTTCTCTCCCCACAAGGTCTCGTTCAGCTAGAGCACTTCCTTTCACGTCTATGAATCATCATCCAATTAACCTGGGCAACATCCTCACAGCAACAGTCTTGTCGCAGCCCAGGTGAGAAATACCGCTCCTTGATCCAGCTCCTCCGCCTCCTCCTCTTCCTCCTCTTCTCCTCCTCCTAGCGTGAAGCTCTTGGGGCGTGGGACGAGAGCTTCACCCGGGCCGGTCGGTCTCTCAAGCGCCTCTCTGGGCGTTCGATGGTGCTCCTGAGCCGGCAAGTGTTTCAACAACTTGTAGGGGTACCCGAGGCTTAGAGAATTGCCCCTGGAGGACCTGGAGGGCGGCGTGATTTGATGTCGTGGGAGTGTCGATGGGTAATTAAACACCAGATAAGATATACCAAGTGTGGCTGTTACAGATTGAATCCGCGCGAGCTTTTGATGATGGGACGTCCCCGTCAGGCAGCCGTGTGGGAGGGGATGTCGTGGGTGGTCTCCTTCCTCTGCGTTGTGGAGGTGTTGGACTGTGTCGTGCTCTAAGAGGAAGAGTGGTGAGAGGAAGGAGAGAGGAGGGCGTGAGGAAAGAGGCAAGGACGGGGTAAAGTAGGAAAGAATGGATCGCTCACTCTCGCCATTAGGGAGGAATTTTACAATTGTGCTCTGCTGCCGGGAAGATTTGTTGTCGATTTTAGAGTAAGATTTTTGATGATAGTGCTCGAAGATGCTTCAGCAGTCTCGACTTTACAGGTCGTGTAGTAACAGTCCTCCATGATGGCGGGTAAGACAATATTTCGTCATGCTGAAGCACCTTACTCTTGTAAATTGAAGTTTATTGACTTCCTCCCCATCTCCTTATTCAGGTCGGACATTAGCATCTTCCAGGAGGAGGTCGTGGTGGGCCTGGCAGCCGGGGCATCTCTGCCGCCCGGCCACAGCCCGTATATGGCCGCCGTGTTTATCTGTCGTGTTCGCTGTGTTTTCTTCTCCTGACGGCGCGAGCTCGACTCTAGAAGCGGGACACGTGTTTCCAGTCGCTGGGTTGAGAGCAGCGTGTCCAAGGTAAACACTGGACGCTGTGCCTGGAACGTGGAGTATCTACTACTGAAGAGGAGCGCCGGAGAAAGATTTTGCAACATCGTAAAAAAAAAGTTTTGCAATTTGATTTTTTAGTGAGCTACACTTCTTTAAGATGAGTGAGACGCTTATGTTGCCTGAACCTTTGTTGTATTTCGTGGCGGTGTTGCCCGTAACTACACACACCGCTTGATGAATATCCTCGTGAAGCATAATGACCCACACCAACGTGAGTGTGAATAATCAACTGAAATATTGAGAGGCCACGACGACGAGCGAGGAACCACACGTCCTGGCATCTAGCGGGAGGAGAGAAGGGAAAGAGGAGGAAGCATAGGCAGGAGAAAGGGGAGGGGGGAGAAGGTATTGAATAGGGAAAAAGGAAGTGGTGAGGAAGCATGAACAGGGGAGAAGAAAGAGAGGTGGAGACATGCCCAGAAGAGGAGAGAGAGAGAGAGAGAGAGAGACATGGGTTCGGAAAATAGAGAGAGGGAGGAGAGAAGTTAGGATAGACGAGATGGCAGGGGAGAAGGGAGAGAAGGTGAAAGATGCATAGAATGGGGCGTAAAATGACTGGGGAAGCGCAAACAGAGGGGAGAGAGAGAGAGAGAGAGAGAGAGAGAGAGAGAGAAGGGGTCATGGGCAGGGGGTCGCGGGGACAAAGATCATGGTATTCACTGGTAATGGTCCAAAAAAGGTCACCAGGGAAGCATTTTCTCTGGCCGCAGCAGGACCTTACGGGGGGGTAACGGTGGATGCTCTCGCTCTGCTGCCTCCTTTGTCATCAGCCTCCCCTGCTGGGCCTGCTGCAGGAGCTCCTGGCCGGTTATTACGTTTGGCAGTGTACGCGGGATGGTGCGGCGGGCCGGCGGCGACGCTGCTACCAGGCGCTGGGAAGAAAGTTACAGTGCGCTACGGTGCGGGAGTAGATCGTTGAGGGGAACAAAGGGGTCGTTAATTTGGCGCCCCCCAACATGGTCGACTGTCTGTAATGTAATATTAATGCACAGGCCAACGTCTCTCTATTCTGCTCTTTTCGTCTGTAAAACAGTCTCTTTTCAGTTTAGTATTCGTTCTTTTTCCTCTCATTGTTATTTCTCATAGCCACCCGCAGTGAGTTCACAAATATTCCAAATCTATGGACCAATCTCAAGTGGGGAGGCACTTGAGACCAGCCAATCATATTAAGTGTTTCCGCCTCAGCTATTGATTGGTGGGATTTGACTTTGACAGTGGTTTGCGCGTTTTCATTGGTTGAACCCAGCCCAAACTCCGCCCTCCCAGGAAATTACGCGCGCTCAATGGCTCCCGAGTCCAATCGCTCCGCCCCCAGATGGCAAGATGTAAAGTTGAGCTTGGTTAGGAAAATGTCGGAAGGCTCAGAGTGCTCTCCAATCTCCACTCGCTATCAAGCCAGTGCTATCATATTACTGGAAGCCAGATCTAAGCTCATTTGCTGGTTCTCACACAGCATTAACTGTAACGAGCCCTCCAGTAAAAACCGGGAGAGCCACGTGCCACAAGACATCCGCAGCCGCAAGCTACCTCCGCCGCGGGCAAGGAGAGCACAAGTGATCAGGTGCCAGGCTCTTGTGAGGACGCACTTTTATCGGTAGTGCCGCCAGTGTAACTCTTGACCTGAAGGTGACTCAAGAGTGCCATCGAGTCTGTGATCCATATCTTCGGCGCCAATGAGGAGGTGCGGCACCCCCTCGTTGCAGGTGTCTCGGCATCGATTGACCCCAAGGTGACTCTTGACTTTTACAATACTGAGGCTCCGTCAAGATCATTTCTTTTGTTACGCGCCTTAGGGGACTCTCACTCTACGCGCTCCTTCACGGTCTTGAGCAGGACTTAGGCGCTACGCTGTCAGTGTTTACCGCTTGACCGACCATTGACACTGGCACAGTTTTGTCGACGGACAACAATTACCGTGAAGGTGTTGGGGTAGCGTGAGGGCCAGGCGTGAGGGCCAGGCGTGATAGTGACGGGCGTGGACGTGCGAGTCTCACCTGAGGGCAGCGCAGTGGTGAGGGCCATGGTGGGGCATTAGGTCATGAGTGGGAGCCCCAGGACGAACCAGCCCTTCTCCGTGACCTCCCTGCTAAGCCCCCTGGATACCCTAGCCTCTACTGTGGACGTGGCAGCAGCAGCAGCAGCCGCAGCAGCAGCAGCAGGGCGGGGCTCGAGTGGGAGCAGTAGCACCAGCAGCAGCACGTTCGCTACCCCAGGGATTGCCGCCTCAGCCTCCGTCAACGACTTCGCCGCCGCCATGCAGAACCCTTACGGCATGAGCCCCATGGCTCACATGGCGCAGTTCGGGACACACTCCACCTACCAGTACTGTAACACCGACCTCTCCCACTACGCCGCCCCTGCCTCCGCCTCCTGGTACGGCACCTCCACCTCCGACCCGAGGTTCGCAAGTAAGTGATGGTCTCATTATGTGAATGGCGACACTACGTACACCCCTAGTTACTAGTGACCTGTATACGCTTGTTCCATTGTAGTAATATTCTGTAGTGGAAATAATCTTAGCACTGTAGTAATTACGCCCTAATAAATACTGCTATTTAGGCTCGGATTGGAGAACCGTGGTCGCCATCTTACACGTCCTAATTCTTACGATGGTCAGGGAAAACGCGGAGAGGCAGCGTGGATTACGTCACCTTAACTGTGGGGCAGAGAGCAGGAGGACCGGCATCTTAGTGCTAGTGATGATGTAAACAATGAACAGCCTCCTCTTATACCCCGATATCGTGCAGGTGTTTAACGATAACATTACCTTATCACTTTACAGGTGGAACACAGGTACTCGTAAGTCATAATGCTCCTTCTATAGCTGATTTATATATTGTTATGACAGATATTTGTTAGTTTTGTTGTTAATTAAATTTAGCGGTCATTATAATTCTTGATTGATTTTAGCGGTAATGTTTCACTGACAAGACGGCGACGCGTTCACCCGTGTCCGTTGGTGATGTTCTGTTGGGGGGGACCATACTGTTGGTGATGTTCTGTTGGCGGCGACCATACTGTTGGTGATGTTCTGTTGATGACCATACTGTTGGCGATGTTCTGTTGGTGACCATACTGTTGGTGATGTTCTGTTGGCGGCGACCATACTGTTGGTGATGTTCTGTTGGCGGCGACCATACTGTTGGTGATGTTCTGTTGGCGGCGACCATACTGTTGGTGATGTTCTGCTGATGACCATACTGTTGGTGACCATACTGTTGGCGATGTTCTGTTGGTGACCATACTGTTGAGATGTTCTGTTGGTGACCATACTGTTAGCGATGTTCTGTTGGCGTGGACCATACTGTTGGTGATGTTTTGTTGGCGTGGACCTTACTGTTGGCGATATTCTGTTGGTGACCATACTGTTGGTGATGTTCTGTTGATGACCATACTGTTGGCGATGTTCTGTTGGTGACCATACTGTTGGCGATGTTCTGTTGATCTTTTGGTGTGATCCATACTGTTGGCGATGTTCTGTTGGTGATGTTCTGTTGGTGACCATACTGTTGGTGATGTTGTTGTGACCATACTGTTGGTGATGTGTCCTGTTGGTGACCATACTGTTGGTGATGTTCTGTTAACTACTGTTGGTGATATTTCTGATGCCGACCATACTGTTGGTGATGTTCTGTTGGCAACCAACTGTTGGTGATGTTCTGTTAGCGGCAGTTGGTGATGTTCTGTTGCCGACCATACTGTTGGTGATGTTCTGATGGTAAACATACTGTTGGTGATGTTCTGTTGGCGACCATACTGTTGGTGATGTTCCGTTGACGACCGCTCATGATGTTCTGTTGCAAACATACCAGGTGATGATGTTCTGTTGGCGACCATACTGTTGGTGATGTTCTGTTGGCGACCATACTGTTGGAAGGTGATGTTCCGTTGGCCTGATGTTCCGTTGACGACCATGCTCTTGGTGATGTTCCGTTGACGACCATACTGTTGGTGATGCTCTGTTGGTGACCATACTGTTGGTGATGTTCCGTTGACGACCATGCTGTTGGTGATGTTCCGTTGACAACCATACTGTTGGTGATGTTACGTTGACGACCATACTGTTGGTGATGTTCTGTTGGTAACCATACTGTTGGTGATGTTCTGTTGGTGACCATACTGTTGGTGATGTTCCGTTGACGACCATGCTGTTGGTGATGTTCCGTTGACGACCATACTGTTGGTGATGTTCTGTTGGTGACCATACTGTTGGTGATGTTCCGTTGACGACCATGCTGTTGGTGATGTTCCGTTGACGACCATACCGTTGGTGATGTTCCGTTGACGACCATATTGTTGACGACCATACTGTATATCTTGGTATAACGGAATAGTATATACCGTTATCAACACTGTACATATAGGCCTATGCTAACAATATATAACAAGTATATTAGCATAATATATTTAGGGTAGGCCTATATGTGTATATTTTTTCTTATAGATGCTGCTGAATCTCCTATATGAAATTACCAACGTATAGGCTTATGGTATATTGAGTATGCTGTTATCATATAGGCGTATCAAATTGAGCCAATATTTATTTCTGCTGATGTGGTTAGGTTAGGTTAATTTAAGTTAGGTTAAGTTAATGAAGGGTTAAGTTAGGTTAGGTTAATTTAAGTTAGGTTAATTTAAGTTAGGTTAAGTTAGTGAAGGGTTAAGTTAGGTTAGGTTAATTTAAGTTAGGTTAATTTAAGTTAGGTTAAGTTAGTGTCCAGGTTATAGTGAGCTCCCCTGAACATTTTATGGTTGACTATTGGTTGTGATCCCGACCTCCACTCAACCAAATTACAGGTGGTATATTTTTTATAATACACACACATCTATCTCTCTATCTATTCGTTTATATATCTATTAAATCCTGTATCTTCTTAATGAAAGGCTTTTATCCACACATTTTCTCTCTCTCTCTCTCGCACTCTTTTATTTTACTTTACTCTCTCTCTCTCTCTGTCTCTCTCTCTCTCTCTCTCTCTCTCTCGGTCTCTCTCTCTCTCTCCGTCTCTGTCTTTCTCTCTCTCTCTCTCATGTATTTCACTTCAATCTCACCTCACTTTTTCTCTCCTTACTCACCTGAAGATTAATCACCCTCACGCTGTCCTAACCTAACCTAATGCTAACTTAACCTAACCCAACCTAACCTAATCATTAAGACTGGGGCCTAATCGGCTTAGTATCCACAATGACTGGGGCCTATTAGGACTTAAACCCCGAGCCAAGTGATTAGTTTATGCTGGGGGGGGGCCTATTAAAACTGGGACCTTATTATTTTCCCAGGATAGACGACGCCAAAGTGGTTGATATAGTCTTCGCCACGTGACCCAACAGCGTCCTTCATCCTGGAAATAAACACAGTGTCTCCCTCCTCCTCCTTCCCCCTCTCTTCTTCCTTTACCTCCTTCTCACCTTCCCTCTTCCTTCCCTCCTCCTTTAATTGGTGAGATAAGAACGCCTCTAACTCACTACTTAATGGCGTCAATTGATCTCTGAGACTCTATCGTAAGTGTGTGTGATGGGGGAGGGGGGGAGGGGGAGGGGGAGGGGGATTTATTTTACGGTATTTAGATAAGATATTTTTTTTCACGTAAGATAATTTGATAAGGTTTAGTTTTGGTTAATGGAAGAATTATTATTGTTACTTGCAGTTGGCGTTAATGTTGTTGCTTTTTAATGTTGCTAGTGGCGTTGATGTTGCAAGTTACTGTTGCTAGTGGCGTTGATGTTGTTGCTTGTTACTGTTGCTAGTGGCGTTGATGTTGCAAGTAACTGTTGCTAGTGGCGAGAGAGAGAGAGAGAGTGTTACCTTGCCCTCTTAGACCGGACGTCACCGAAGGGTTGCTCCTCCACCGTCGGGAAGAGCGTACGACAGTGTACACACATTCTGTCGGTGAGTGTATAAGGGTTATCAGTGTACAGTGTGTGTGGGGGGCTCAGTCTTTCTCCTCTTTTGTCGGGAATCGAACCTGGGGCCAATCGTTTGTAAGAGGACCCGCCCCAACCTTGTAACTATACCTTCCCAATGTCGATGTGTGATGTGAAATGAGGGAGGTAATTTGATCTCTCTCTCTCTCTCTCTGTAATAATAATCACCAAGACGAAAAAGTTTTTATTTGACAAAAATTTTTTGATTAGGAAAAAATATATATTATTTTGTTGGTATTTTATTGAATATTATCTTATTTATTTTTTGTTTGTATCTGCGACTAAAAAAACCCTTTATTGATGATATTTTGTTATGTTGTAAATTAAACAGAAATATTTCTATTATATGGATTGTAAAAATATTGTTAGTTTTTCTGATAGTTATTAAAATTACAAAAAAAAGTGATATCTTTTTTTTTGGTATATTTGATTGGGAAAAAATATCATTCTTTTTGTACATAGGACAAAATTATTTATTCTTTTTTTTATATAGGAAATTAGTATCTTTTCATATACTTTTATTTGGGAATAAATATTTTTCTCTTTTTGCTTTTGTGGTAAAAGTATTTTTTTATGTGTCCAGGAAAAAAAAAAAAAAATATATATATATATATATATATATATATATATATATATATATATATATATATATATATATATATATATATATATATATATATATATATATATATATATATATATATTGATAAAATCACACGGGAAAATGGAAACAACGGAGCACCTTAGCTTTCGTCTTTATTCAAGACATCTTCAGAGGCAACTGGATTACATGGACAGAGAGAGGATTAAATATACAGGGTGACCTTAAAACCATGAGGTCAGGTCATAATGATGTCATCCACTAATCCCCACACCAACACACACGTAGAGGAGCTTAAGAGAAGGGGGGGTGACGTGACTAGTCAGGTCAGGTAAAAAATAAGGGACCCACAAAATAACTATCATACATCTAGATCAAAGGTTTTCAAAGCATTTTTAAGCATTATCTTATCCACGTTTTCATAATTACGAAAAATAAACTATATTTAATTTACATATTTACGAAAAAAATTCTCATTCATATAAAAAGGAAAAAAAATCTCCTCGTATTTGAATTCATAAACCAAAAAAAAAGTAAAAAAAAATATTCCTCGTTCATACTTGACCAAAAAAAAAAAAAAAGCCATCATAGCTTTTCCAATACCATATGGAAAAAAAAGTTATTTCCCTTTTCAGAATGTTGGGAAAAAAATACTATGTCCCTCTTTTTTGCCTGTCCTCCCTCTATTGGACTGAACTGTGAAAAAATTGTAACTAGTTCATACTGAAGCGAAGGTGGGTGGGGGGAGAGGGGGAGGAGGAGTGGGGTAGAGGAGGAGAGTGGGGAGAGTTGTCATGAGTGGGCCAGACAAATCGATCCTGGAACTGTGAAGGGGAGAAGGGGAGAGAGAGGAGAGGGGGAGAGAAACAAGTGTTCTATCGA